TCTGCATATGAACAGGTAACAATAGTTTGTGAGCCAGCACAAGACCAGAGATCACACTTCGAGTAGCGCAGGTGCAAACAGCCACTAGGCAAAAGGCCACCCTGAAGTCACATTTCTTGGGCATTGCCTCAGCAGAGGGCAAGGACTCCTGCACCATTCTGAGGACTTGGGTCCTGCTGCTGACTTAGGGAGCAGCTTGGGACCTACAACTGGAGCAGAAGGCTAAATTAGGCCTGAGAGAGCCCCAGGGACTGTGCCCAGAATCCAGGCCCTGGGCTCTGATCCCCCTACCTGTGAGACAGAACAGCAGGGAAGCTGATGCTATCTGAGCAAAGGAGGCCTCTGGAAACAGCTCCTTCCACTGACAAGCTGGCAGGTGGGGATTAGGGGGTTGTAACCTAATGTGGGGCAAGGATGGTAGATGCTCTGGGTTTGATTCCAAAATTAGATGGCCACATCACCTTGTCACTCTGAGCTTCCTCTTCCAAAATGTAAAAAAGGAGAGGATTGTATGCTCTCTTGAGTTCCTTGTAAATCTAACATGCTGTGCTTGCTCTGGAAGATCTACTGCCTGCCTTCAGGGAGGGGCAGCAAGGCTAATGCACCAGGAAGAGGACAAACCAGACTGAACGCAATGGAAATGGACAGTAGTTGTGCATTGCAGGCTGCCCCCAGGGCTTTTTCTTCGAGGACAAGGAGGATTCAGGGCTAAAGAGACCAGAAAAGGAGTAGGGAGCAAATACATTATCCGTTTGGGTTAATTTAATTGCTAGACTGGGCATCAAGCCTGGTGCTGTTTCCAGCAGCTAAGGTAGAGAAGCAAGTGTGGTAAGTCCCAGAACTCTTATTATAAAAGAGGCATGGCTACTAATTCCTCAGAGGATACAAACTTTTTCCTGGCCCTAAATTTTAAAAAAAGTTTTCATACGTGATGTTATTTAGGGGACAGTAAAGATACTGCAGCCTCCACAAGTTTTACGGCAAGAACAGTTGTGGTTTTCATGTGGCTATTTCTTCCAACAACCTTGGAGGAAAGCCAAGGGCACATCAGATAGCACTGCAGCTCAGTAGCGTTCTTTTTAGTTTTTTGACAAGAAATGAACTAGAGCATATTAAGAGAAAAAGTCAAATGTTCTAGGTAAATTATATAGGAGGCGAGGCCATATTAAAGTACACTTGGGGATGTGGTTCCATAGTGTAGCGGTTAGCACATCTGCTTTACACGCGGAAGGTCCTGGGTTCGCGCCCCAGTGGAACCACGGTCCATGGTCTACGGTCATGTCACCCTGAACAAGCCGGATGTTTGATCTCGTAAACTAAGCAGGGTCAGGCCTGGTTAGTACTTGGATGGGAGACCATCTAGGAAGATCAGGTGCTGCAGGCATAAATAATAATAATAAAGTACACTTGGTTTTCTCTTGGCTAAGTCACTGGTGGACACAAAAACATGCCTATCCTTTCCAAGGTGTGGACTGACTTGCTCATCCCTGGTCCTACGGTCCCATACCCCTGCCTGCCTGGCTCCCACACCATGGCCCAGGGGCACTTGGGTAAGAAGAGGCCAATTTTGCCAGTCCTATGATTAGCCACTGTGGGGCAGCACTCAGCCAGCATCTGGAAAACTTTCAAAATTTCCCTTTGTAAGCAAAGCCATCTAGCATGAATGCAATTCTACCAATCTACTAATTCCATTAATCTTGAAAATCTCATATTCAGCTGCGTCCATAAATACTTAAAGGATGTAAAAATTAAACAGCTGTTCCAATAGCGGGTTTTATTTCTCAGATTCTCTTTTTAATTTTTCAAGTGTTAATGTTATGAGACAGCAAAGAAATGCTAATATTTTTTGAAAAGAAACTGTGCTAAGTCTTTTATATGTACCATTCATTTAATCTTACAAGAACTCTGTAAGGTATCATTATCCTCCCGATGCATATAAAGTTAAACAGGGACCTCGCCTTCTTAAGTGCCTCGTCTAAGGTCACAGCCCTATTTAGTGGCAGAATGGGATTTGAAACAACCTAGGCAGTCTGCAAAGAGCACTTGACCCTGCATCCTAAAAGACCTTTGGGATCTCACGGGTGGAAGAAGTCTCTAGTCCACACTCCTTCCGAAGCAGACATTGTCTTCTCCATCCCAGCCTCAGCCTAATACCCCAAAAGCTTTCCCTTATTTTCCTTATTTTGAGCTCAAACTGTCTCAAAATTGGCCAGAGTTCTTCCCTCCATAGCTACTTGGAATAAGCTGAGTTTCTCTTCCATACTAAAGTCCCTCCAATTTCTGAAAAATTAACAGTCCTGTTAATTGTGGCTCCCTAGCCCCCAAGCAGCCCTGTGGCAGGAACGGAGTCATTATTCCCAATTTACAAATATGTTCCATCCTA